GAAAAGTCTAAAAATAGAATGTGAATTTCAAGGCACTATTTGAAAAAAAATAAAAATGGTTATAGTTTTCATGCTATAAGGTGCACCCTGTAAAATATTGCTTTGTCAATGTCATTATCAAAGCACATACAAAGTTGAGTCAATTTTATAGGTAAACACAAAATGTTAAATATGCTCCAGTTTCTCTTGGGGAGAGCAGGCTCATAATAAACTGCGTTGTTTCTAAGGCAGTTTTAACCAAGTTCCTAAAATGAAGTATGCTAATGAGGCATTATTGATGGGGATTTGCTAAATTTCAGGTGTCCGAATTTTAGTTTCCTTTCAGGCGACGCTTATTATATATATTTTATACTAAAATTGCAGATTTCGTTCGTTGCAATTTCTATAGGTGCAATCTATAATTTTCGGTACCGAGAATAAAAAAACTCGTTAGACAAAACCACCAACCTGACAAAATCTGATTTACATTGGCACAAAGACAATTAACAATTTATAGTTATTTCTATAGGTAGACAAGGACAAAAAATTAATATATTATGACACAAAGACAAATAACAAATCACAAAAGTAACAATTTACTTATATATACTAGTTGATGGTATAATAATGTTGCCTGAAATCATCTTAAAATTCAGGCACCTGAAATATAGGAGAAGTGTTATTGATGAACTGCTAAAATAAAGTATGCAATGAAGCAATACTAATGAATCGTCTAAAAGAAGTATGGCAATATTGAGCAATCTACTTAACATTTGCACTAGAATCTTTTATGGCGAGAATGTACTAAATTTTCCTGGTTTTGCCAATTTTCAAGAAAAGTCTAAAAATAGAATGTGAATTTCAAGGCACTATTTGAAAAAAAAATGGTTATAGTTTTCATGCTATAAGGTGCACCCTGTAAAAAAATTGCTTTGTCAATGTCATTATCGAAGCACATACAAAGTTGAGTCAATTTTATAGGTAAACACAAAATGTTAAATATGCTCCAATATCTCTTGGGGAGAGCAAGCTCATAATAAACAGTGCTGTTTCTAAGGCAGTTTTAACCAAGTTCCTAAAATGAAGTATGCTAATGAGGCATTATTGATGGGGATTTGCTAAATTTCAGGTGTCCGAATTTTAGTTTCCTTTCAGACGACGCTTATTGTATATATTTTATACTAAAATTGCAGATTTCGTTCGTTGCAATTTCTATAGGTGCAATCTATAATTTTCGGTACCGAAAATAAAAAAACTCGTTAGACAAAACCACCAACCTGACAAAATCTGATTTACATTGGCACAAAGACAATTAACAATTTATAGTTATTTCTATAGGTAAACAAGGACAAAAATTTAATATGTTATGACACAAAGACAAATAACAAATCACAAAAGTAACAATTTACTTATATATACTAGTTGATGGTATAATAGTGTTGCCTGAAATCATCTTAAAATTCGGACACCTGAAATATAGGAGAAGTGTTATTGATGAACTGCTAAAATGAAGTATGCAATGAAGCAATACTAATGAATCGTCTAAAAGAAGTATGGCAATATTGAGCAATCTACTTAACATTTGCACTAGAATCTTTTATGGCGAGAATGTACTAATTTTTCCTGGTTTTGCCAATTTCCAAGAAAAGTCTAAAAATAGAATGTGAATTTCAAGGCACTATTTGAAAAAAAAATGGTTATAGTTTTGATGCTATAAGGTGCACCCTGTAAAAAAAATTGCTTTGTCAATGTCATTATCAAAGCACATACAAAGTTGAGTCAATTTTATAGGTAAACACAAAATGTTAAATATGCTCCAATATCTCTTGGGGAGAGCAGGCTCATAATAAAGTGTCGCCATTGTCGCGAGTACTACATTCTACGTTTTTTAAAAGCTTTGGGCCTGTATATAGGTGCTACTGGGCGGGGAAAGTCGAAAGATTTGGGCTGGCCCCTCACCCGTGATGGGCCGAAGTAAGCGCTCCAGGAGAGGCCCGCCTGTCCATGACAGCTTGACAAGCAACAAGCGAAAATGGGTTGTTGCATGCTCTACAAGGAGTCAGTCCGGACCAATTCGAGCACGACGTGGAGCACCCCTTTGAATGAAACTAGGAAACGCCAAAAAAAATGTACTGCCTTTTTGCAAATTTTTTCGTCAAAAGCTGTGTTCCAAACATTTCAATGATCTCACGTCAAAGAAAAAACGTGTCCATTTTCCCATCACTCCGCGAGGTTTATCGAGAGCAGGTAGCCGTCCCTGTAGACTACAATTACGAATCTTCGAATCCAATTTCCTTCTCCTATTCAGTTACCTAATCACCAAACCAGTAGATGCGCATGCAGCAATCGGAGCAAAAGCAACTCAGGGTGATCTAAGCAGCATCACGCTTTCGGTTGAGGCCCCCTCACCCCTCAGCAGGTCCGAATTGTTTTATCGACGAGCACACCAGGTCTCCTCAGTCCTCACACTTCTCTCTATCTGTTGGAAAGACCTAATCCTTTCGTGAAACTACCGGTTCAGACGTCTCGATCTGACGCTTTGGAAACTCGCGAGGCCGTACGACATGCATGCACTCAGCGCATGGATAAATGGATTGCTCTGGGCGTCCTAGTTTATCCTTGTTCTTGGGACGGACACTCGGGGGGTCAGAGGGAAGCCACCAGCTCTCTGAATTTCTGAACCCTCGTCCACTTTCTGAATCGCCATTATTCCTGCTCTGCGTCTAATTAATTAATTAAAAGACGACGAAAGGTTAGGTTCAGGTTTGGTCATAGAGGTGGTTTAATTTATATGTGGAATCAAGAAATGTGTGATCATGCATGTCTAACCAAACCATTTTGATTTTGTGTTAGTACGATGATGTCTACTATATGGAACAGTTTGCCAGCAGAAATGCAGACTTGCAGAGAGGACATTACCGGTTCTGAAACTGAAAGAAAACTACAGTTGAACGCCCTAGACTGGAGCTAGCTTGTCCTTCAGAGCGAATTATATATATATCTCTTTTTCTAAAAACATTTCTTTGTGAACTTAGCCAAACTTATTTGACTTTTGAAAAGAAAAAAACTAGAATGACAGTATTTTTGGTATATGGGTAATGGGTTAGAAAAAAAAACTTCTCAAGCCATATAGCGCAAAGAGAAGTGATTTTAATTAGTTGTAGGTAAGGTAACTTATAATACTTACATTTGCACATGAGCACGGTGACGGACTAGTCTTTTCCTAAACTTGGCTAATATGTTTATCCAAACAAAAAAAACAGAGAGAGACGGAGAGAATCCATTGCACTTGCAATAAACTTTACTACGTACAAAACTGCAATGTACTATTTTAGTTAGCCAACACGAGTTGCTGCACTACGCTACAAACTTCTCAAGCAGAACACTGCTGGTTCCGTTGGAAACGAATATTAGATACAGTCGCTATACTGTCTACTACAACTAGCTAGTTTTAGTTAGCCAAATCATTGCGGGTTGACATCACCTCTGATTTGATAGTGTCACTACTACTGAATGCATGCCCAGAGTAGGCGAGTACTGACTGACCAACACTCTCCTGAATCATATCATACATCGCATCCTAGCTCCTCGATCAGAACCAGAACTAACAAAGATCGCACATGGCACGCCCCGCCTAGCTAGCTCGATCGCGTCTCGGCACTGCTCCTTCGATCAGATCAGACGACAACATTGCCATCGCATGCATGTATATGCATGCATCCGGCTCAGATTTTTCGACCGGGACCATACCACTGAAGATGATACAGTTCACCTCCAACATCTCTTGCCGACGACGCTCTTTTGGCACGACACAAGGAGACAGAGGTACGCAGCCCAGTAGGTAACAACTGTTGCAACAACTTGCAAGCTGTGGACATTTTTGACATGTGATTTGATCGACCCACAAGGGACCGGATGAGCTCATGAGCAGGACCAGAGGAGGGAGGGAGGGAGGACACGAGTGGCGTGGTACACCCGTCGTCGTCTCGTCTCCTCTCCTAGTCCTAGGTCGCGCTCGCGCTTGCCTGAGCGAGGCAGAGCTGATGTACTACAAGTACTAGAACATGCATGCAATTGGAAGGGCCGCCATGTGCCGACTGTCTGCCCGTATGAGCAACGTACGTGTTCGTATGCTGACTGTCCCCTGCTCAAGTAAAGCAATGCAGTGCACGCAGCCATGCGGGTCTTGCCTGTTGGCACGATCAGATCGGCTAATGATCGAATGGGTAGATAGCGTGAGTGAGTGTGTGCTGGGCGGCGACCATTCGGCGCCTCTGGTCGCCGGTACGCTTGAGCATTTCGAGGAGTGCTGTGCTTGCAGTGGTCCTTGCGATGCGATGCACAGAGCAGATCGCTGAAGACCTGAGGTAACCCATGTGACCTCAAGACTCTCAAGTCTTCCGCACCATGTGACTCGATCAGTGATTCATCAGAGTGACACTACCTCAGCTGCCATTGCCAAGCCAATTACCGGGACGAAAATGGAAGGGCAGACCGAGCAACAGGCCGGCCGGTCACTCGGTCAGCTCGGTTGCCTTGCTGCCGTGCCGATGCCGCGAAGAAGACAAGCAGCATCCCGGAACAGGCCCCCGGAGCGAGACCTGCGTAGCCTTTTGGTGACGTGATCGCGCTGGAAACATACGCAAGTGCTGATGCTAGGCGCAAGGGGACAGCGGCACAGGACAAGGGCAACCGGACAGGGGTTGAAGTGGAGGCCGGAGGGAAGCATGACGCGCCTGTGTTGGTTCCTGCAAAAACGGACGCCAATGCTAATGCCGCTCACTTGCCAAACCAACTTGCCAAAGTGACCATTGCCTTCAAAGAGGCTTTGGAAATTTTGTCATTATTATTTTTGGGTGAATCAGATACATACATATGTACATGCACGATCCATCGATGCCACGCTCACTCACAAAGTTACAAAGGGAAGACAGACAAAGACGAAGCTACTAACAAAGCTCTCTCTCTCTCTATGCAGACTATGTTACACAAACGCCGCCTGAGCCCTGACATGGTGGAGCTCACTTGCCACCGCCGATGGCGGCGCCGTAGGACCGGCTCCTCCTGACCTCCTCCGGCGGTATGAAGGCGTCCGGGCCGAGCCCCGGCACGTTGAACGCCACGTCGTCGATGGTCCACGACTCCTCCATCCGCGCCACCACGCGCGCGGCGCGGACGCCGACGCCGAACCGGGCGAGGTGCGCCGTGGACGTGCCCGCGTGCGCGACGGCCACGCCGCCGTCCACGGCGCGGTAGTCCGACACGGCCGACGCGATGGTGGTCTCCCCAGTACATGGCGGCCGCGCCGGGGGACTGGATCCGGGTCAGCTGCGAGTCCTCCAGCCGCGCCAGGAGGCCGCTGCGCTGGCTGAAGAAGCCCGTCAGCCCGTGCCGGATCACCTCCGCGGTGCCGTCGCTCCAGCTCGACAGCACCGAGGGGCCCACGTCCAGGCGCAGCACGAAGCAGTCCTCGCCGTCCACCTCCTTCTCGCCGGCGTGCTCGGCCGTCGAGAAGATGGACGCGATCGTCACAGGGTCCAGGCCCTGCGTGCACAAATCACCAATTCACTCTACTGTCAGTGAACATGTAAATGATCACAGTTTTTGCAAGCTCAGTGACAACTTGTAATATGACAGTAGTACATGTGTGTGCACGCACATGGATCATGGATGCAACAAAACCACAAATGAAAAATGCATATCTCAGCAAAGTTGAGCAGATCAAAACCTCCCCTTGACTTGTTGGCACGCCTGTGTTTGGTGCTTTTAGGACCACCAATGCTAGCGAAATGCAGATGAGCAGATCAGATTCTCCAAGAAAATGGTAATCTAAGTGAGCCCAAGTGCATATGCTTTCAGTCTAAAATTTTATATCAGATAATTCTATTCTACTAGAGGGAAATTTCAGAACATTCAGCTATTCTCATAGAGTAGAGGACAGTGGAACATGCAACAGCTAGCAAGTGGGAACTGGCAGTGCATTCCCAGCGTCAGTGTTTTGGTAAGAACATGTCAGTACACCATAATTTATTGGCATGGGACAGAGGACACTGCTGATATAATGATGCGGTACTGCTAAACAAAGCACCCTTGTTTAAAAATCTCTGTGACGGTACAAACAGCTAAGCGCCTCAACATATGTGCTGCATCCGTACAATCCTCCAGCATGAGTACTACATTTTGAAATAGCTAGGATATTTGTTATCCAATTCTGAAGGACCTAGTGAAACTTAATGGCATTATGTGCCTGTGCTTCCTCAAAGTAGTCCACCAAAAGTCATATGCTCACTTGAGCTGTACTCATTATCAAATTGGCCTAATGGTATACCCTAAACAACCGACTCGAACAATAAATTAGTGTGTAGGCCAATCGGATATAATCTGCTATGCAGAATTTATTTTAAAAAAACGTCTGATCCGGTAAGCATGAAGATTTTGAGGATCAGAGCATGACCTCGGCCCCCAATTTTCCTACTGCTATAGCCTTGCTGAAAGATACCTACTGACAGCCATACAGAGTGTTAATCGATCAAACCAAATGAAGCTCAAAACCTGGGATTTATTTCCTTTCAGAAGATTAGGAACACTGTTTCATGATATTTCCAAAATAAGACAGACATAGTCATGCAGTTTCGTAGACAGAGGACTTATATATTCTCCTTGCCAAGTTGTCTAGCCAAAACATAAAAGTATTTTCGTCACCTCCCATAATCACACTAGAATATGTGTACTGATAGTGTAGGCTAAGGATGAACCTATATACTACAAGGTGTCCACTTGCCAAGTTGATCGGGATAAGCGTAACGATGAACCAAGGCCCAGAGTGATGAAACCAACAAACATTCAGACATCTCACGCTAGGCTGATGAAGCTCTTTATAAAAAGAGCAGCCCACAGACAGGGATATTCTTATTCTAGCACCATGTGCAGGATGCAGAATTAAAGGCAGGCTAATCTCACACCACCTACTGCTGCTAATGCCTTCTCCCCAGGTCAAACAAAGCCAGTTAGGACTTGGGACTCTCCTACAGAGCTGGTATTAAAGCCGACTGATAAATCGACTGAAACGAGAAAAAAATACTATACATTCTAACGGATAAGCCGGCCGATAAATTCAAGCCAACAGTCCCGAAATGGGAGCAGAGCATGAGGCATGAGGCAACCATGACATCAACAGTGTGCCATGCTGCAGATCCCAAGATAACAACTGTACAGGGCAGAGGCCATGTACATCCAAGGTGCTTTTTTTCTTAACAAAGATTCTTCATTGCATTCGCATTTGCATCGAGTTGTTTAAGGGATCTTCTGCTCTACTTTTTTCTCTCTCATGGACGGCAAAGCCAAAGGGCGTGCGCAAAAGCAGGAGAGGCTATTCCATGGATTGGCATGCGAAAGCAGAGGGGGAAAGCAAGCAATGGCGCCAGTGGGGCCCGCCTGTCATGGACAGGCATGGGCCAGGCTAGCTAGCACAGCAGCAGCCAGCAGTAACGCTGTGCATGCGAGGCATGCCATGGCGATCGGCAAAGCGACGAGAAAAAAGGCGAACGGAAGTAAAAGGAACATGGCATCACGATGCAAAAACAAACAAAGAGATCGGTGGTGGCAGTGAATGGGAGAGAGCGGGCGTGCCAACCTGGAGCGCGCGTCGGAGCGGGCGGGAGCCGCCGCGCGCGGCGTGGGCGCCGAGCCAGGGCGTGCGGCGCCAGGCGACGCGGCCGTCGCTGCCCGCGGCGACGCTCTGCCCGGCCACGGACATCTCGAGGAGCCACATGCTGGGCGCGAGCTGCCACAGCACGAAGCTCCCCTCGTGGCCGCGCCCGCCGCCGCTGCCGATGACGCCTGATCCCCCGCCGCCGCCGGGCTCCTGCAGCATGGAGAGGCGCACCCGGCCGGACGCGTACATGCTCTTGACGGCGCCGTCCTCGAGCTTCCCGCACCCCGTCGTGGCTCTGAACTGCTCGATGATGTACTGCGCCGACGACGCCACCTGCACGTACGGCCAGCCACAAACACACGCACCCATCATTCGAAGCAAAGCAAACGCTCGCGTACACGCACTAGCTAGCTAGAGCGCCGGTGCGGGAGGAGGAAGGTTTTAGACTGTTGACGCGGCGCACGTACGTGGCGGGGAAGGCGCGGGAGGAGGGGCACGGGGGAGAGCGGGCAGGCAAGCACGGAGAGGAGCCCGCGCAGGTCGGCGGCCGGTCGGGCGTCGTCCCCTGCCGCGCCCCCGGAGAGGAGGCGCGCCCACCGGTGCAGCGCCGCGTGGAGGCCCGAGCGCCGCCGCGCCGCCTCCTCCTCCCCGCCGCCGGGCTCCTCCGCCAGCGGCTCCAGCGCCACCCTCGATCTCATCTCGCTCGCTCTCCTTCCCTGCTGCCTGTGTTTAGCGTCCGCGTCAGGCTGCCGTGCCGTGGCGCGCGTGTTTGTTGCTGCAGCTGTTGCTTGTTCTCGTTATAAGCGGAGGGCCGGAGGCGGTGAGGGATGGACGCGCACGCAGACGTAGACGGCAGACGCAGCGCGCCTCGCGAGGGCGTACGAGTCGCCTAACGGTAGGCTTGACTGACCCGTGGGGCCACTGTACTGGTGGTGGTCCGGGCGTCAGTGGGAGCGTTCGGCCCCGGCGCGCGTGTGGAGTGCCGCGAAAGGCAGGGGGAGCGTGAGCGTCCAGGGGAAGGGAGGGAAGGAAACGGGGCTGGGCGCTGGGCCGCTGGGGAGGTTGGGGAGCGGTCAAAATCTCGCGCGCTCACGCCGTCGCGCTGGTGGACGGACTGGTGGTGGTGGCGTTGTTGGTGGCGGCGTGCGTGGCAGCTGAGCTGAGCTCAGCGGCCGCCTCCTGGGCGTGGGTGCTTCCCAGGCAAGTGAAGACTCCTGTCCCCTCCAACGCCTGGTCGCCCAGCTAATCCTGCATCGTTACGTCCCATTGACGAATCACTGCCGCTGCTTGAGCCTGTTATCCGTGACAAAATTCTTACCAGAACCGATCCGTCCCTGTGCTGTGGAAGTTGTTCCGCTCCGTTCCAAGCAGACCGTCGCCGTCCCGTTAGCCATAGCTAGCCTGGTACGTACTGAGGAACAGTTGTGGTCTCGTTCGCTATCGGTCGCGGTGGAGTAGCGCGCACGTTTGATCTGACGCCGACGTGTGCGGGGGCTTTATTTCCGTTCTGGGGACACGGCGATTCGATTCCGTTGATGTGGCCGCCGGGACGGCCGGCCGGGGGCTCCCTCGTCTCGCTCGGACGTTCGCCTCCTGGACTGGACCTGGATGGGCCATGGGCCATGGCCGAACTGCTTGCATGCCTCATGTCAGTACAGTCGGTACGTGGAGTTGCAGTTGCCGTTAGCCGGCGGCCGCAAGCATAGCATCGATGGCGAGGCGCTTTCGGCTGCACGACGGCGGGACGCGACGGCGACTCGGCAACCCGTGCAAGCAAATGCAAATGCAAATGCATTTGTTGATGGGGATCGGAACTGTGCTGAGACGCATTTGTTGATGGGAGGCGGCCGCTGCAACGACGGAGCGAGGGCGACGCGGCAACAAACTGGCAGACGAGAGCTTCCGTTGGCTTGCCCGGCATAGCTTGGCTTCTTCATCAATGCTAGCTAGACTACGATCCAAGCCTCCAAGGTGATTCATCTTTGTTGTTGTTTTTTTTTTCAGTTCCTTGTGCCTTTTTTTGGTACTCCAGTATGTGAATGCACACGGAAAACAACACGGGATCAGGCTGAGTACACTTGAAGGGTTTCCTTGCCGCGTTTCTTTTACTGATGATCTGCTGCTTAGCTCTGAATAATAATATCTGTCTTGTGTTTATGTATACTAGCAATAATCTATGCGTCCCTGTCACTGTCAGAAGCAGAGACAGGTATGTTCGGCTGATTCAATATTGTTCTGTGATGAAGAATAAGTTGAAATAGGTTGACTTTGCTGAAAAGTAGTTCAAGCGAACAGGCTCTGATGTAAACATGTATGTCTATCATATTCAGCGGGGACTAAAGTTTAAAAGTTATCACATCGAATGTCACATAGGGTGTCACATGAGATGTTTGGATCCTATTAAAAAACAAATTACATATTCCGTCAGTAATCCGCGAGACGAATTTATTAAGCCTAATTAATCTGCCATTAGCAAATGTTTACTGTAGCACTATATTGTCAAATCATGGACTAATTAGGCTTAATAAATTCGTCTCATAAATTAATCTCAATCTATGTATTTAATTTTATAAATAATCTATATTTAATACTCTATGTATGTGTTAAACAGTCGATGGGAGGACAACCAAGAAGTGTACACACACATGACACACCGAATGATCCTGTGCGGCGTGGGGGTCTCTCCTCTCGGTCCCTCCCTACCTCGCTGACGAGTCATATCTCGCTTTAAACCCCGCTGCCGCTTCGACAAGTGTACGAATTCAGTGCTCGAGGCCTGAGATAATGGTTGCGTGCTTTATTGCTGGGATCAGGTCCCGCCCATTTGCAGCATTGCTGGGCCTTGGCACTGAACACTTGAATGTGGCTGAACAGGTATGGGGCTGATAGCAGATCAATGTTCATAGCAAAAACTAAAGCTTTCCCGTGTCTGTTGGATTGAAAAAGAAAAAAAAAAGAGACAGAGAAAGTCCTGTCCCGGCGACCAGATTCAGCTACCCAAAATGAACTACTAAGTATTTCTGTATTTGATTAATCTAATGTAGGGTCTCATGAAATGAGTAGTCAATTATAAACCTGCTTCAGACTTACTCCCTCCGTCCCATTGAGTTTGTCGTTGGAAAACCGTGCCCCCCTCACAATCCCGCTTCCCGAGCGACAATCTTAACGGGACGGAGGGAGTAGGCCCTGTTTGGTTGAGCTGTGGCTGTGGGAAAAAGCTGCTGTGGGCTGTGAGCTGTGGAAAAGCTGCTGTGGGCTGTGAGCTGTAGAAAAGCTGAAAGCTGTTTGGTTAAACAAGTATAAAATATACCTTTTATCTTTATCTCTCTTGAAACAACTATGAAAGAGCTTTTTATTCCACCAATTTCGAAAAGCAGAAAGCCAAAAGCCAAAAGCAGGGTCAAACCAGCTTTCAAAAATGAACTACGGAAAAGCAGCTGCTTCTGAAAAAGCACCCTCCAAAAGCAACCCCTTTGGTTGGGCTTTTGGCTTTTGGGGCCAAAAGCCAAAGCCAAAAGCCCAACCAAACAGGGCCTTAGGCTGTGTTTGACATGGCTCCCAGGGCTCCAGCTCCTCCTCTCATTTCCTGTAGCATCACTGTTTGCCACTATAGCAAGGAGTTATTTCGTTTCCCGAGAAGAAAAATGAACTGGAAAGAGGAGGAGCCGGAGAAGCCATGATTTGCAGCTTCACCGGCTCCATGCTACAATGTCGCTACGGTGTTGTACAATGAAGAAGCCGGAGCTACAAAGAGTTATGCCAAACAGAGCCTTACTCTTGCTATACAACAACTACAAGGATAGATGACAAGGATGTATTCACAGCTACTTGCATTGTGCACCAAGCAAGCAAGTTCGTAGTGGCGCAGAATATCGGCCTTATTTAGTTGGCCGAACTTTGAAAATTTGGCTACCGTAGCATTTTCGTTTTTATTTAGCAATTAGTGTTCAATCATGGATTAATTAGGCTCAAAACGTTCGTCTCGCAATTTCCCACCAAACTGTGCAATTAGTTTTTTTCCGTCTACATTTAATGCTCCATGCACGTATCGGAAGATTCGATGTGATAGCTACTGTAGCACTTTTTGAAAAAACTTTTTGGAACTAAACAAGTCTCAGTTTCCGTGTTAATGTCAGAATGATGGCGCCGGTAGCTTCTGCTGCTGCCTGGCCTGATCAACCACTGAAGTGACAACGAAATTACAATGGGCATGGTGTGCCTGTTCCAGTGTTCCTAGGAGGCGGCGACATCGATCGGACCACGATTCGTTGCAGTTCAATGCAAGTCCATCACGAACTGACACGGAGGTGGACATGTCCCTTTCATGCATTGCAACTTGAGCGCTGTTTGGCAGAAGCTGGAGAAGACCACAGAGGGCTTGGTTTGGTTATTACTATAACTCTATAAGAATGTAGAGCCTGTCTGTTTGGTTATTAGTCTAAGAACATGGAGCCTGTTTGCCTCATGGTTACACAGCGATCCTAGGCGTTCGATTTTAGATGTTTGAGGCTAGATCGAGCTGCCTGGAAGATCAGGTCGCCAAGCAAACAATCCTGTAATGCGTGAGTGACAGCATTGCATGAGCCACCCGGAAATTAACTCATTTGATTGATGTTGTATTTTTAGAGGGAAAAGCATTTGACACATTCTGGTGATCTTTGTATGTTTTGTGACAAGAATGGTCTTTAGTAACTTTGAGTGTCTGATGGCAACTCTTTTTGACAATATATGTTGGTTACGTTGTGGTGGTGTACTTTCCTTGTCGTCACCGTTTTAAGCAACTAATTAGGCTATCTGATTCGGAGGGGGGAAAACCGCTGTCTCATTTGGCGACCTATTCCTCCAGAAGAATCACAGGCACAAAGCTGACAGGGATGGGGGGAAATGGATGGGACAAATCACGTTTCCATTTGTTTTTGTATTTCCGTGTGGCGCGCAGGAAAGGGATAGGTGCATGGATCATGGATGGAGTTCACTACGATTGGAACGGAAACGTCAAACGGGAGAGCCAGTATCCGGCCCGTTTTGTGTGATCTATGTGGTCAGACAGATAACGTCCATATTTGTCCCATTTTAGATAGGCCCAAGCCCAGTAAGACCCCAAAGGGGGGAAAAACAGTCTTGTGATGGTAGTTAATATACAGGTTCCTTTTTAACTCTCTGGAATATCAACGTGGTCTAATTTTCCTATTTGAGTTTCCAAACCAGACATGATAATATCTCTTAGACTCTCAAAATCGTTCAAATTGCCTCCCTGGTTTAAGATGGTTTCGAGGGTGGTTTCATCCTTTTTTTAGTTCGGATAAATACTTTATAAGTCTTTTAAACCATAAAAATATCTCCAATAAAAAACCTAGTCTTGTATTATTAGATATAAAAATCCAAATTAAATATTTAAATCTCATGAAAATATCTCTACAAGCTTAAAAATAGATTTGTATATTGGAAAATAGGAAAAATATTCAAAAAATCAAGAAATTTCCAAAACATTATAATTGATGTCTAATGCGTTTTGAAAACTTGTCGCAACAACAACATAAGACACAACCAGCACAAATGCATAACATGAATGCATTCATACTATTTGCATCTCAAATTTTCGCAATACAAAGTTTCTAAAATGTGTTTACACATCAATTTATTTTGGGAGTTTTCAAGTTTTTTTTGGACATTTTATGTATTTTCCTCTATCTGAATC